ACGATCACTCTGGCTCCTTCTTTCGCAAACAGAGAACAAACTGCTCGACCAATGCCGCTTCCACCTCCTGTAACAAGTGCTAATCTTCCTGCCAGCATCATTTCAAATTAATGAAAATTTCTTTACAATGATTTTACGTGTTCCTGTTCCTATTACGTTTTCGCACGTGATTTCTTGTTTATCTTTACAATTCCATGACGTAATACTATAAGTAGCCACCTATGGTTGCCATATTATATAGAAGAAATATTTGTTGTCTGATAAATTTGCCAAGTTGATTTAAAAAATCCGAAAATTAATCTCACGTTTAAATTCAGTTATTTAATTCGAATAAATTTTACAATTTCTGTCTAATGTTGTCATTTGTTGAATTCGTTATATAAAAATTAGTTATATAAAAATTAATTTAATACAAATATTACTGTACTTTATTACACATACGTAGAATATTATTACAATGAAAAGGTTATCACACACTTGAAGCAATTATTAATTAATTAATGCCTTATATATCCCTAAAATGCATTTCGGCTTCTGGTGTTAAAGGCCCTCTTCAGTTAGGTGAACAACATTTATCTATACCAGTGTTTCTCAACGGGGGCGATATCGCCCCCATGTGGGCGATTTTCTACGTTGAGGGGGCGATTAGTAACAATTTATATTTGGGGGGCGAAAAACAATTTTCTGGGCGATATAGTAAAACATTACATTAAGAATAATTAGATATTTTATTCTTTATATCGTACAATAATTAAACAAATAACATGATACTAGTCACTAGTCTATTCGATGCAGTACGAATTTGGCATTAGCCTTGGCCCTCGGCATCGGAATTTTGAACTGAAGGGGGCGATACTACATAACGGTTTTATTGAAAGGGGCGATACTACGTTGAAGGGGGGCGACGAATCGTTACAGGTTGAGAAACACTAATCTATATTAATATTATAAAGAGGTAATGTTTGTAAGTTTGGATGTAGCAGGTAATCTCCGAAACTACTCATTCAATTTCAAAAATTCTTTCACCAATATTTAGAATGAAACTTCAGGGTGGACATATGCTGTATATTATTACGATAAACATTCATATAAATTAAAAGATATCATCTAGGTTAAAGATTTTATGTCCAACAGATGATGCTATGAGTACGACGACCTAAGTTTGCTTTTCTGTGAGGATGAACTAAAGCAGATCATCTTCTTTCTGTCTATATAAATAAAAATGTAATGTTCGTTTGTTCCTACCAATTTTTTTGAAATTTTGACACTACATTGTATTCGAACACGCACGTGTTTTTTATATAATATACATGTTGAAATTCCCCCCCACTGGGGGGATGGTTAGGATTAAGGCTTACTGTAAAGAACTCTGCTTCTATTATACTATTTTAGATGTGATTTTTTGTGTTTTTGATTGCATTTTAATAGGGTACGTCAACAGAATATACACTAAAAAGGGATTTTTCGATATTCCCCCACGGGGGAGAGGAACAGGATTAAGGCTTACTGTGAAGAACTTGGCTTCTGTTATACTATTCTGTTATACTATTACAGTTTTTTGCGTTTTTGATTGCATTTTAATAGGGTACATCAAGAGAATGTATACTAAGAAAGGATTTTTCGAAAAATTTTTCCCATGGGGAAAGTGTTATACATTTATAATACAGTAGTAAAGTGTTATACAGATAAAACAGTATATTAAAAATGATCATATATTACATTTATTGGAAACAAAATAAAATTACATCATAGACATATGCATTCCAAACACCACAATATGTTCAATATACAATACCTGTATATTTTCCCATAAAATAAAATGCCTATAAATAAGATATTTATTATATAGTATCCTTTTTCACAAATATCATATCACATAAACTACAGTATATAATAATCTACAAACTTTAAATTTTAATTATGCCATTTACATTGCACTACAGAAACAGCAAGTATGTACTTATAAACTTTAACCTTGGAGTCACAAGCTTACAGTACACATAATGTTAAAATAATTATTTTTACTATCTATGAATTAACCTCAGTCAAGCATAATACTTAGCACCTGGTATCAACCAGGTATCATTATTTAAATCATGACTATAGTAATAATGATGATAATTATGAAAATTATCAAATTACAAAACTGATTTTTGATATAAGTTCATTTCTATCAATTCAATAAATCTGATAAAGACATCATATTCAAATACTGTACAATATACAATAATATATAATATATACAATAATAATAGAATATATAAGTTCTTTTAATGCAATTTCTATTTGGTGGGTCCATGATATTTGGTACATTCTCTACTCTAGAAATTGTCTGTTACAAAGCACAAACTGATTTCAGATGTATGATTATGAAAGATGTTCCTTGTTTGTTCTCCTCAAGTGATGGTACTTGTCATCTTCGATAGCTAATATTAATATCATATTCCTTCGGCTCTTCTATTTTTTCCAGTTTCTTTGCTTGAGCAAGTTGCAAAGAGATAAAAAGTTACTACACATCTTTATCTCAACACCGGAGAATACTAATAAAAACTCTTTCTAACCTGTTACCAGTGTGTTCTCTTTCTACTAAATTGTAACGAACCAGAATAGCTCTTTAACAAACAAAAATAGCTTTTTACTAACATTTTCAAACCCTAATGACGGTTCTTCTTTAGGTATATTTTTGAATCTCTGATGGAAATGCCCGTAAAAGTTCAAATTTGAAAATATGTATGTTCGAATGCACATTTCCTGTTTACGTCATTATCTGTCTTGTGCAGTCAATTCCAATACGGCTATCATAAATTACTGTTCATAAGCACTAGCCACGCTACTGATAGCGTAATCTCTTCTTTATAATTGATGCATTGATTATCCTTAAGGTTAGCTAAGTATGTGCTGGCCGCCTCCAGCCACTTGATATGGTGTATGTGCTGTGTGGTGCGGATAATTCTGTCTTTCTTAAATTCGGGGTCTATATTTGGATCGGACACATAATAGATAAAAAGTTATGAGAGAATGCAAAGACAGGTTTAAAAACCTGCTTTTGCATTCTCTCACTTCTTCTGAACTTCTTTTTTTTTGTTCTAGATCATAGAAAGACTGATCACTTCCATACTAGACTGTACTTTGGTTGACAAATTGGGGATGGTCACGTCAGATTGGTTGAGTGATGGCTGTTCATTTTTAATGTTTTTCTGAAATATTTTCATTGGGTTCTTCTAATTTACATTGATTTTGACTAGTGATTCAATTATTTCTTGTAATTCCTCTTTGGTGCAAACATTTGCTTCAACATCATTAGGTAAGGATGATCCCTTTTAAGCATGAACTAAATATGGCTTTATAAGGACTACACTTAATGTCTCGATGATATTTCTATTTTTTACGAAATACACGTCATAATCTCTCAGTCTAGTGCTGGGTTTGATTTCTTTTTAAGAGTTATTTGATCAGAATGCATTATCTATATTAATATTATAAAGAGGTAATGTTTGTAAGTTTGGATGTAGCAGGTAATCTCCGAAATTACTCATTCAATTTCAAAAATTCTTTCACCAATATTTAGAATGAAACTTCAGGGTGGACATAGGCTGTATATTATTGCGGTAAACATTCATATAAATTAAAAGATATCATCTAGGTTAAAGATTTTATGTCCAACAGATGATGCTATGAGTACGACGACCTAAGTTTGCTTTTCTGTGAGGATGAACTAAAGCAGATCATCTTCTTTCTGTCTATATAAATAAAAATGTAATGTTCGTTTGTTCCTACCAATTTTTTTGAAATTTTGACACTACATTGTATTCGAACACGCACGTGTTTTTTATATAATATACATGTTGAAATTCCCCCCCACTGGGGGGATGGTTAGGATTAAGGCTTACTGTAAAGAACTCTGCTTCTATTATACTATTTTAGATGTGATTTTTTGTGTTTTTGATTGCATTTTAATAGGGTACGTCAACAGAATATACACTAAAAAGGGATTTTTCGATATTCCCCCACGGGGGAGAGGAACAGGATTAAGGCTTACTGTGAAGAACTTGGCTTCTGTTATACTATTCTGTTATACTATTACAGTTTTTTGCGTTTTTGATTGCATTTTAATAGGGTACATCAAGAGAATGTATACTAAGAAAGGATTTTTCGAAAAATTTCCCCCATGGGGAAAGTGTTATACATTTATAATACAGTAGTAAAGTGTTATACAGATAAAACAGTATATTAAAAATGATCATATATTACATTTATTGGAAACAAAATAAAATTACATCATAGACATATGCATTCCAAACACCACAATATGTTCAATATACAATACCTGTATATTTTCCCATAAAATAAAATGCCTATAAATAAGATATTTATTATATAGTATCCTTTTTCACAAATATCATATCACATAAACTACAGTATATAATAATCTACAAACTTTAAATTTTAATTATGCCATTTACATTGCACTACAGAAACAGCAAGTATGTACTTATAAACTTTAACCTTGGAGTCACAAGCTTACAGTACACATAATGTTAAAATAATTATTTTTACTATCTATGAATTAACCTCAGTCAAGCATAATACTTAGCACCTGGTATCAACCAGGTATCATTATTTAAATCATGACTATAGTAATAATGATGATAATTATGAAAATTATCAAATTACAAAACTGATTTTTGATATAAGTTCATTTCTATCAATTCAATAAATCTGATAAAGACATCATATTCAAATACTGTACAATATACAATAATATATAATATATACAATAATAATAGAATATATAAGTTCTTTTAATGCAATTTCTATTTAATATTGATACTATACTTTACAAAAGTACATAACTTGAAGATGAGATTTTCTATATTTTCTTTATGTTAAATACTAGCATTGTAAAATAAACTATTTTGATAAATAAATAAATGTTAGAATGTTAAAATAACTAAATAAATGTTAAAATAAATTTTGATAAATAAATAAATGATTATTAGGTTGCTGTTGGTGATCAATCAGGAGTCTTGATGTGTTTTGGTATAAAGAAAAGTGAAACACAGGTAAAGATTATAGTTTAATCATACTAAATAAAATTTAATTTATGAAGTTAATTAAAAATTTGATGAAAGACAACAACCAATTACTGGTTAATATTAATAATAATTGTTCTAGTATACCACCAAACCGATAAGCCAGCAAAAGTGAATGATTCTTTTTTGAAGCCAGTACAAAATTTTAAAAAATGAATATAGGTTCTTCCAATATCCAAAATAGAGCATTCCTACAAAATCTTTCGTAAACTGAAATGATATAAAGTGAAGAAGTAATAATTATTATATTATATGGGAAAATTTTTTGAGTGTTTACACACCCAAAATTGACCTAGTAAATCATACCAAATGTGTTCTAAGGACTTTTTGTACCTTAGGATATGTTTTGCTAATAGATGCAAAAAAAAAAAAAAAAGAAATTTGAGATAAAATGCAGATACAGATATCAATACAATTCAAAGCTATGATGGCTTGATGCTGAGATGTTGGATATAGTTCTTGGAAAAAGAGCTTGCATTCTGAGCAATAAGCCCAGAATGCAACTCACTGCTTATTGCTCAGAATGCTGCATGCTTCATATTTTCTCACATGTTTTCAAGAAATAATCAGTTTAAAGTTTTCTCTTTTTTTCTATTTATATAAAATTACTTAATTACTTTCTGTCATTGAAGTTGTGTCATATGCATTATTCTATTTATTTTTATTTTAAACTAACAAAACTGATTGTTTTAGTATCAAGGTATGGTATTGCTGCACCCTCTGAATATGCTCCTTCAACAAATATAGATATTATTATGGTTGATATGAAATATTCAGTATTATAGTACATTTCATATGTATATANTCTAATAAGTACCTTCCAGTAACCGAGTGGATTAAAACCACCAAACACCAGTAGTCAGTCGTTGGTTCGTACATGGCCAAAGGGCATTTTCTGGGTTTTATTCATGTTTGTAATACCTAAATAGGGTCCAGGTTTCCATAAGAGTCTTCCTGAGATTCATTCCCTCTCAGCAGATTGCTCACTTGTTGCATTGCTGTAACCAAATAAATTAAACTAATTCTAACAAGCGATTATTTATTGTGACATTGTCACAATGCCAGGCTGCAATTTTTTGTTATAACGTTCTCAATTCTTTTAGTGGTGTCTTGCCCTTGTACATTATACTTTTTCTGTTAGCAGTATAGTTGTGCTGGTTATCTAACTCTGTTCAGGGTAAAATTTAGAATTGAAGTAACATGACTTCCAGTTTAGACCAGAAGTTTGTATATAGTTAATTGGGGCCTCTTGTCCTTAAGCTTTCCATTTCTGGTCTCAACTATCATCTAACTCCTTTCTCTAGATTGAGGAAGGACAGATAGATAGGCAGATGATAATTGGAATTTATAGGTTTACAATTTTTTAAAATTGCAGCCCAATAATTTTCTATAAACATGATATTTAAGAGACATACTTAGTTTATACAATCTGTTGCAAAAATATAAACACTATTATCACATAAAAGCAATCATTCTTGTTCTTGCAATTATTATTTTTACAAGATTTTTTTATTTAAACAAGATATATGAAGTCTTTCAGAAATTAAGGTTAACGACTTCAATCACATGCAGGGCCATCACAACCTATCCAAAACAAATCACTTTTCAAATATTAATAGTGGACTTGTATTAATTAGTCCTTGATCATCATCTTTTCAGGATGAGGTCAATGAGTACTTTTGGTCAAATTACTTTAATCCCCTTCTGCAACAGTCCTTTCTTTCTACCAGACCAAATGGTGACATTTGAATAGGAAAATTATATAATACGAGATTAGCAGTGAGCACAAAATATGTCTTAAGTGATTTTATAGGGTGCCGAGTTTAAATATTTGGTCCATTTTTCACGAAATTGATTCATTGGCAGATTACCATTTGCTATTTGGCTGTAAGTGGTACAACTTCTTATCATATTTTTTCCTAATGTTAATTATATCTTAAAAAAATTATGATATTTTCAATTGGTGTCTACTTAACCAATGAAATTGTGCTATTTCATAAAATCCAAGTAGATAAACATTACAATGGTAGACTGAAATAACCAAACACTTTATGTGGCGTTTGTTTTAATGTTATATGATAACATTCATAGTTGTATAAATCAAATACTATCTTACACAAGGGTTTATCACATCAAGTGACCAATCTAACATATTTTAAACATTTTTTTTTATGCTTTACACAATTTAAAGAATTTTTAAAATGTGTTAGATTGATCACTTGATGTGATAAACCATTAAGTAAGATAACTTTTGTAGTTATATAAATCAAGTACAGTAGACCCCCCTATAACGCTTAGATACGTTCCACGCTAATCGAATTTTACGTTGTAGGAATGATTAAATACATGAGCCAATCGCAGCCCGATAGGTGTGAACTTTACGGACTAAGGCTGTTTGAAAGGTTTTCTTCTATAAAATTAACCGATTCTAGACTAATTCCACTCAACGTTTCCAAAACACGTATAATTTTTTGGGAGTAATCCGTATAAACTATGCTATAAACAAAAAATTATAGGATTACTTACGGAGTGTGCACCATTCGACTACGCCCGTTGTTCAAAGCTTGTCTTCGTCGCGGAACA